TATTGAATTTCAGCAATTTCCGTTTATTACGTCTAGAGTTATGGCCCTTGTTTCATGTTATTGAACCTTGTGAACGCTCAAACGACAAAAGTTATCAACCGATCTGTATGAAATTTATATGCATCATTTAAATTAGTAAAACAAAGAAGCCTATTGAATTTCAGCAATTTCCGTTAATCATCTAGAGTTATGGCCCTTGTTTCACTTTGTTGAATCTTGTGAATGCTCTAATGACAACAGTTATCATCCGATCTGTTTGAAATTGATATGCATGATTTAAATTAGTGAAACGAAGAATCCTATTGAAGTTCAGCAATTTCCTTTAATTACGCCATGAGTTATGGCCCTTGTTTCACTTTGTTGTACCTTGTGGTTGCTTTAACGACAAAAGTTATTATACGATCTGTATGAAATTTAAAGGTATCGTTTAAATTAGTAAAACGAACAAGCCTATTGAGTTTCAGCAAATTTCCGTTAATTACATCTAGAGTTATGGCCCTTGTTTCACATTGTTGAATCTTGTGAACGCTTGAACGACAAAAGTTATCACCCAATCTGTATGAAATTCATATGCATCATTTAAATTAGTGAAATGAAGAAGCCTATTGAATGTCAGCAATTTCTGTCAATTACTTCTAGAGTTATGGCCCTTGTTCTACTTTGTTGAATCTTGTGAACGTTCGAACGACAAAAGTTATCATCCGATCTGTATGAAATTGATATGTATTATTTGAATTAGTAAAACGAAAAAGTCTGTCGAATTTCAATAATTTCTGTAGATTACTTCCTGAGTTACAGCCCTTGTTTTAGTTTTTAGAACCTTGTGAACCCTCAAACGACGAAAATTATAATGTCATCTGTATGAAGTTGTCTATTAAATGCCCCCTAATTACCTACAAAAGAACAAATATACGACAACTCTTGTCGACCGCTCGGACGATTTAGCTGCTGTGGGCGTATGTTTAGTTGCCTGGCAACCTATCTTTATATAATGTAGGCCCTATTTAGCTCAGGAATCCATAGCCCTAAAGCTAATTCAAGTATTCAATAGAATAACTTACCTCTATGACTGGTTGTGTTTCGTAGAGCTTAAACAAGAAATCAGCTGCTGCAAAATTTCTAGAGCCTATCTTACTAAGAGACACTGCAGGTTCGGTTCCAACATCTTCCTTCTGTATCTTCATCTGACATCTTAAAGTAAAAAAAGAGAGAAATGGGGATTAACACTCACACAAAACAAACCAACATTTTTGGACTGACACCCAGGAGGTTTGACTCAATGAAAGACCTTATGAGCTTGGACCACTCAACCACCCCTAAAAACAAAAGAGTAACAAGCAAACTGAACATTTCAAAATTTTGATCAATGGGACAAGACTAGATCTTAAAGCTACAATTTCATATTTGTTAAGTTATATTTTTAAAATTTATTAAAAAAAAGCCTTAAAATAGATGGTATCCATACACAGTCCTACCTTGTTAAAGAATAATCCTATTAATCCTATAATTCACTATTGCCAGCTGCGAAATTGGCAAAATTATCATTTTCGAATTCCAACATTTGAAGATAGCTAATGCATGGAGGCAATAGGAAAACAAGGGAGGTAATTGTGTTATTATTTCCTGTGTCAATGATTTTTAAGGGTGGGAAATAATGCCCATAGTCGTATAATAGTGAGTTGATAACCTATTGAGCAAAAGACATAGAAATAATTATGTTTTGACTTTCATAGAAAATATGAAATTCTGGCTTGAAGGCTAAGGCCAGGAAACACAGCCTAGGTCTTACAGTTAAGGCCGGAAGACGCAAGACTACAGTAGGTCTTAAGAGATTCAAGACTAGGTCTTAAGAGACACAAGACTAGGCCTTACAGTTGAGGCCAGAAGATACAAGACTAAGCCTTACAGTTGAGACCGGAAGACACAAGACTAGGCCTTAAGATTATGGCCGGGAGACCAGACTAGGCCTTAAGGCAACTTACCTGAATACACGATCATCATTGTCAAAAAACTCCCATTCCAACAACATATTGTTGACAAAACATGAATGTTGTAAAATATAGAAACCTTGAACTTTACGATCTACTATCCAACTGACGTCCTCAAAGACAACGATATCCTTGGCTGGTAGTGTTGATATAGGTTTTCGGGTCCATTGTAAGCGATGAAGATTCGAACAGTTATCTTCCAAAATGCAGTTGCCCTTGACACGAAAGTCGATAACATCTGTTGCTGCTTGGTCGTGTGGTTGAAGTTTACTGTGTTGGGGGAGGATGAACTCGGGGTCACAGTTCGTCAAAACCTTTCGGGCTTTAGAGTAAGCGTCTGCTTGGGCATCTGTTCGGTTCTCTGCTTCACCAATCATGATGAGATGACCAGCTAGATAGAGGTTACAGAAAATTTTCTCCTTTTCTATTTCTGTGTTCATGCTACGACGGTACAGACAAATGGGCGTCAATTTTACATCGTTGAAAATTCCATCCAAGACAGTAATGATGGATGCAGGATGCGTGGCACTGCTAAGTTCGTTCATTTTGACAAACTGTTCACGGAGATCAAATGCCCTAGGATTTGGTGCTGCCTTTACCAAAGTGCTCTGAACCTATGCTTCTGCTTCTGTTATGACAGACTGTTCGACACCATCTAAGATGTTGCCATGTTCAACATTCATGGTGGTCAGTCGTTCAACCACCATATTATAACACAATGACTTAGCAGTTTTTTTGGAAACTGAAACACCTGCACCTTGTAGTATGTTGTCAATAAAGTACATGCCCTTATGATAAACTTTCCCTGATTCAGCTTTACAACTCTCTACATCATATCGACAACGGACTCGACATTTAGCCACAGAGGCCGCCAACTCCATTTTGCTGATTGAATTGGTTGAAGCATATTTAGGATTGGTTAGAATATCTTGGATCTGTTTCAAAATAGATGGTGGGGGTAACTCTGCAATTGTTTCTTTCTCCATCTTAGCAACGGTCGAGTTAAAATTCTCCAGTTTCTCCTTGATAACTTTTGGGGTCATATCATCCTGGTTCAAAATTTCAGTGACAGGAAGGGTACGATAAAGTTCCACCGCCTTCTTGAAACATGACAGTTTGATTTCTTTCTTGTTGATGCCGATAGCTCTGGCTAGGAACACACCACCCAGATTAAGTCGGCCAGTGAAAAAGGATCCGTTCTTTCCTTGTACCATGCCATCGATCAAAAAATCTGGTCTAATTCCAACTTTACAACTCATCAGAGAATTCTCAAACAACTAAAATGAAATAAAATAGGATTTAATGGGAAAGAGAGGAAAATGGGCTTTATTGTTCACTCGACACTAGGTCATTTCGGGACTAACATATAGTTCATTTTATTTCATTAGGGGTCTTTAGCAGTGGAAGGAAACCCTGAGGACATGGAGAAAACGCACGAGGTTGAACAGACGACCCTACTCCTTGTCACGTACAAGCGGGTAATGACGCATTAACGCTTCGACCACCCAAACTCGCCCCACTGGTCTTATGTAGATGGGCAAATAAAAGAATTTTATACGTAATACATGCTTAAATAAAAATAAAAATAAAGCAGAATCTGTGTTTTTAATGAGATTATTGTGAAAAATATTAAACATGCATTATGCAAGAGCTAAACCTGTCAATTTCAGGTCTTTCTTTAGGCCTGAAATCTTATCTAAATTATTAATTAGACATTAATTAACTTATCCAGACCATAATAAACTCCCGATGTCAAGGCTAGCCTTCGATGTCGACTGGATTACAATTCTATATGCTGCTATCGCTCATTGATAATTAAATCACAACAATAGACAATCGAGACTATTAGTTTCGAGGCTAGGCGAAACTTTCATCCGCTTAGTTTTCGGTTCATAGTGGACCAATTTGACTGACATTTTCAGCAAATTCCCTTTACATTATGTAGTTTTTAACTATTATAGTGAGAACTGCTAACTCGTTATCTTATCTCCATCTCCCATAATGTATCTTTAATAAATAAAACCTCACCATAATTTCATTGATTACTTTTTTTTCACTTCGTAAAAACATTGAAAGTCGTCGAATTTTTTCTGCTAGCGGCAATTTTGTGGCATCGATTGGTTCTGGGTTGGGTGTTTTGTGTACAGCGGCAGCAGGCAGACCTTTGTTATCAATGGGGCGTGTCTGGCAGCATGGTAATGTTTCCCATTTCTTCTCTGTAAATAAACCATTAAAAAATGTAGTTTGTTAAAGCTGCATTTAGTAACTGTATTGAATAAACCATGACTAATATACCGGTGTATTAAATACAAGTTTTTTCACAGTTCATTTCTGACGACGTCTTGAAAAGTGTTCTCTTGTATTTATCAAGCCACAAACAAAATAAACTTCTAAATAACTTGTATTCTGAATATTGTTTAGTGCCCAGGTTCACTTTGCTCATTTCTGTTGATCAGCGGCTGGGGAGGGGGGGGGGATAGGTTTTACATTTAGATTCAGAACGAACATGATTCTTCTACAGCCATCCTTTTTACAGTGGTTACAACTTAAACATACAGGTTTCAAGTTTAACTGACTACCATGACTAGAGATTAGAATAACAGAATTTTAAAACAAAATTAAAAGCTTTTGAGCAGTAGTACGGTAAAAATTATGTGTGTCAAAAAGATAAGCACCACCGTTTAAAATGAGGTCTGTTTGATATTTAACCATCAACAATAAATTCAGATGGTTTTTATTTGGAACCATGTAATATCCATCACAAAATACTTCCAGCATAAGTCTTGCCACTCCAAGAAGAATAGTGTCAGGTTCCTTTGGTACCATGGTACTAATCAAACAAGAGGTGTTGAGGACGTGATCCAAGTGAGAGAGGGGGGGGGGGGTTGGATGGCTGAATGGTTAGCGTGCGCGCGCTGTATCATAAAGTCTGTCATTCAGTCAACTGGCGTGGTTTCGAATCCCCGGTTGTACGTGACAAGGAGTAGGGTCGCCTGTCCAACCTTGTGGGTTTCCTCCGGGTCCTCCGGTTTCCTCCCACAGCTAAAGATCCCTACGCGCAAGCGAATTATGGAAATAAAATTGAACCATATGTTAGTCGAGTGGACGTTAAACCCCATTTCTCTCTCTCTCTCCAAGTGAGAGAGGGATACACATGACGATGGTTATCACTACTCTTGTCTGTAATCCTCATCCTTTTCCTGACCAGATCATCTAATGGACTCCTATATTTTTCGAAATCCTCAATTAAAAAATATCTATTACTTAAATGACCAAATATTCCTGTCTTGTTTTACTTTAAGGTGGTCCTTAACCTTTTGTCAGTTGTATTTATTTTTATAACTTACTTGCACCACCGGCACTGTTTGCGGGAGTTCCAACACCTCCTATAGAATTCAACTCATTGTTAAAAATATAATTTGCGGGTCACGGAAAGATAACTCTGTTTGGAAACATGGTTTGGTGTAGAGGAGTAACCGAAGTTGGCCGAGTGAAATCTGCAGCCGGTTGCCGAGTGAAAAATAGAAAGTAACTCATTGAAGATCCAGTATTGTGCATATAATTGCTCTTTAGCCTAGCAGAAAAAAGGTTTCGAGTATTTGAAGATGGAACCATGCAACACAAAACATCTCAATTCCTCATCTGTAAGTTTTTCATTATATAATTTAGCATAAATCACAGACAGGACTTGTGTTTTATGATTTAGAGCCTAATGAAAGCCTAAATAAATGACATCATAGGCTATCATTCAACGTCCATGGCATAGCCTGCCATAGCTATCATCATTCAACCTGTTGTTAGCCTAGACTCCTACTCCTAGAGTTTCTGTATTCTGAATAATCTGCATCTGAGTCTGACTTTCTGTATTATAAAAGTCTACCTGTGTCCGAAATGTTGAGGATATAATTTTGTTAAGTCTAAAATGTCATGTATCAGGAAGTCATAGCCTACTCCTTATATTAGCCATGAAATAAAATAATAAGTTAGTACCGTACCGGTACAATATTTCGTACGTATTTAATTGCAGAGTGTCTGTTTTTTTAAGTTGTTTAATGGTCGAGTGCGAGACATTGCGTAATATATTGAAACAACACGGGTGATGTAGTCATGAAACAACAATATATTGAAACAACAACTCATGACTACACCACTCGTGTTGTTTCAATATAGTACGCAATGTCTGAAGCTCGAGACCATTAAACAACTTAAAATACAGACATTCTCCAATGAAATACGTCACACAGGTCCAAAATTTTAACTAGTATAAATAATGTACCGTACCGGTAGGCTTGGCACATTGCCCGTACCATTATTTGAAATAATGATACGCCAACATCAAAGGATGATGTCACATCTGTATTTTTAAGTAGGATTATTATTTACTATATGTCATGATTGAAATCAGATCTGCTGGTGAAAAGCCTAAGTAAAATTTGATGTGTAACATAAGGTAAATAAGATAAGATTTTATTGTGCATGTGTCTCAACACACTTTTCAGGTTGCATACATGTACAGATAAATAACATACATAGGCTATGTTATATAGAATAAATACATTTTTTTTTTAACATATTTTACAGATGGTTGATTTAAAGGCAGAACTGTTTAGAAAACAAGAAGAATATAATAAAAGAAAATTAGCAACTAAAGATGGAGATTATATAAAAGGCAAAGTTAGCGACAGTAACAAGGTGAATAATTACAATATCCGTACATGTAACTGATATATTCCTAAACTTTTCTTACATAAATCATGATTATTGTTTCTCCATTGCAATTATTCCTCTAAGAATAAAGGGGTAGAGAGGCTGTGTGGTCCAAGTCATGGTTTTGATCAAGGGATGGTATGTAACAAACTGACCTGCCAAACCTTTTCTCTGGGTGCTCAGGCCAGTCCTCACTTCTAATGACTCCTGGGTGCAGTTGAAAATGTACCATGTTAGTGCCAAAATTACCTGGTTATCTATCAACAAGTGGTTTTTAAAAATCAGCGTTGCCTCTTTGATTTCACAAATGAATAATTTCAGATTTCTGTATTACAGAAGAAAGGCAGTCTATTCAGTAAACAAAATAAAGGAGTTTTAGAGAGAGCAGAGAGAGATAGAGAAGTGAAAATAGAAGAAGAAGATGTACATGCTAGATCAAGGTTTTCATTTTACCTAATATCAGTCCATGTGAAAGCCGTCGGACCGTCGGTCATTACCGATAAAATAGCTCTCGGTCCGGTATTTTCATCATGAATACCGGCCCAGTTGTCCGGAAAGATTCTGGACCCGGTTTACTGACTGCTGATTGTATTAAATCATCGCCGTATTGGCACTGACTGACGGCACTTCGTGCACGGACTGTTGAATTCTCGTTTAATTTATTGTGTTAATTTCACTATTGTTTAAAATGTAAACAAAATCTTATCTCAAGTACGTAGTACCGTATATCGAGCTAGTCTAGTAAGTAGTAGGCTAGGTTAATCCAGACTAAAACGAAAGTCCTTTTATTGTATTAATAACATTGGCTTCTGGTAGACTCGATTGTCATCTAAGGGATTATATTTTCTTTGCTCGGTCTATTTATTGTTATCATTAACACAAAATGACAATTAAGGAAGTGTGCGAAAAAGTCTTTATACAATAGATAATCTTTGTAATAAAGTAAAGTATTTTCCCCCTTATATATACTGTTAGTTGTTTTTCGAGTTTTTTGGTATGAACTTTTTTGGACCAGTAAAATCTCATTCGGTTCACTAATAGTTGGAATAATACCTGCCCAAATGTCCAGTAAAAAAAATATCATTTCGCATAGACTGCCTAATATACAACATTTTGTAACATATATGTTGATAAGGCATAGATTAAGGCATGTCAGTGTAGTTTTTATACGCCCACCAGTCTACAGGTCACAATTTTTATCCGATTTCAATGAAACTTGAAATATGGGTTTATCACCCTAAGATCTCGGTTCCTTTCGATATTGGCATCTATCGGACCATAACTTCATGGATTATGGCCCCTGATTGTACGAAAAATCACGTTTTTGGCTTGTGAACACTGTAGAGGTCACAATTTTTATCCGATTTTGTTGAAACTTGAAATGTAAGTTTATAACCCAAAGATCACGGTTCCTTTCGACATTCGCGCATATCGAACCGTAACTAACTGAATAATTTGATTGTACGAAAAATCACGTTTTTAGCTTGTGGACCCTATAGAGGTCATAATTTTTATCCAATTTAAAAAAAGACGTATTATTATATCACCGTTACACCCTAAGGACGACTGAGTTCTAATTTCGTGAAAATCGGCCCAAAACTGACAGACAAAATGGCCGCCCCATGTTCTGAAATTGTGTAAAAATATGGTATATCAAGGTTGTGGACCCTATAGAGGTCGCAATTTTTATCTGATTTTGTTGAAACTTGAAATGAAGTTTATAACTCAAAGATCTTGGTTCCTTTCGATATTTGTGCATATCGAATTGTAATTTCCTGAATTATGGCCCTTGATTGTAGGAAAAATCACTTTCGTTTTAGCTTGTTTTCTATCCATCTCTCGAAAATGTGGGCGTATCCTGCCTGGCAGCCGCTGGTTTGTAAAGTCAACTCCCGTAGAAACACAAAAATGGAGGAAATAGATGATGAGATGCATATTTGAAAAAGTTGCTTGAAGTTGAGGTGTCAATAACATACATAATATGCCATTTTAAGCATTCACATTATTGAAATATAATTGTTCCAGTCTCCTAATTTGTGTTTATCTTTAAAACATTGTGTGATGGTTTTTTCAGTTTATGTAAAATTTCATGTGGTAAAAATGTCACAAATGCAGTATTAACAGATTACAAATTTCCATTTCTAATTTTATAGGAAGGCGTTAGAAGCGAAAGCTAAACTGTATGATAAGATGACAAATAGCTCTGATATTCCAGGTATGAATTTTGTAGAAAAAAAAGGAATCTGTTTTCTGTTTTATTTCTCAATCAAGATAATGAGTTGCCCTGATATATAGATTGACAAATTTATATATATTTTATTTTCAATTTGAAATAAATTTCAAAATCCACTTATTATCGACATGAAATGTCAATTTATTAGTTTCCAATCATCAAAATATGAATTAAAAGTTCTATAATAATAATTATTGGCATTATTTATTCATAAATGTATGTACTTTAATAATTTTCAATCATCAATATATGTGACCCACTCTGGCTAAAGGAGAGAGAGAGACAGAAATGGGGTTTAACGTCCACTCGACACAAACTAGGTCATTTCGGGACTAACATATGGTTTAATTTTATTTACACAATTCGCTTGCGCGTAGGGGTCTTTAGCAGTAGGAGGAAACCGGAGGACCCGGAGAAAACCCACGAGGTTGGACAGGCGACCCTACTCCTTGCCACGTACAACCGGGGAATCGAAACCACGCCAGTCGACTCAATGACACTGGCTAAAGGATCCGCATGTTACACGGCATTGTTTTTCAGTACAGTGTATAGAAGTGCTGTGCGACGAAATTGTGAATTTGAGATTTCTGTGAAAATACATCACTTAAAGATACATTATGGGAGATTTTAATAGAGAGTTGGCCATTCTTGCTATAACAGTTCGAAAATAGATGATAAAAGAAGAATATATTGAAAATTTCAGTTAAATTACTTTATTCTGAACAAAGTTATCACCATTGTAATTTTTGACTAGAAATAGGAGTCAAATCCCTCTTCACCGTCTACGAGAATGCAGGCCGTTTGATTGACAGGCGTTAACTCCACCTACATAATCTCGATTATCAAGTAACGTTTTCAATTCGTATCACATTTATTTTTACTACAAATTAAAAATAGGACTTTTATTATATAGATAAGAAGCGAAAGTTTTAAAGGAATGGACCAAATCAATGAGGCATAATTATAGCCGACTTCTTCAATCTTGTTAGCCTGCGTGTACTCCCGAAGCAGACAAATTGAAATAGGAAACATTGATCCAATGGGGCTGCATGGGCTGTAATTCAACTGGGGTGATGTTGGCTGCGATGTTTATCAATTTCCATAATTTTTCTGTAAACGCAAGTGACAAAAGAGCGTATAATACCGACATCCAAACTCTCATTTTAACTACAAATAAACATAATATCAAGGCCATATATATCGAACTTTCAATCAAATTGACCGACATATGCGGCCTCGCTCAACAGCAGCCTCGCTTCGTACACCCTATCATTCAGCCTTGATCTAAAATTTCCCGGAGTATGACGTCAATGTAACGATTAATCTCAGCTTACAACGCCATTTAAAAATTTAATCAATCAATGAAATCATGTTTAAATCCAAGTGAATCCAAGCCATCCGTGGGTCTACAGAGTTGATTTTGTGCTTGTAGTGTAAATAAAGATCTAATTTATAATTTCTATGACATCTGAAGCCTAAATAAAGACTTGCAATAATCAGATTTAGCTCTTGCATAATGTATGTTTAATGTCTCTAGGAGTCTATTTTAATGTCCCAAAATATAAAAATAAAAATCATAACACAAGTAGGTAAAAAGTAACAATTAATCAGCTGTATTGCATCAACAAACATGCTGAAACAAAGGTAAAACCCTGCTTTGTTACATGTTTTTGCGGTACTATATCAAGCTAACTGCCCTCAAAATAACTAATTAAATGTAGAATCCGAATATATCAATAACTCAATTTTAATTTTTTGACCCATGAGGATCCTTTAGCCAGAGCTGGTCTCATATATAAGTTCTCTGACTATCAACATACCAATAATTTATAAGTTCTCTAATGTCAACATACCAATTTATAAGTTCTCTAAGTATCATGTTTATGTATTTTAAAGAGGAGGATGGAAGTGGAACATATTTAGTTGATTTCCAAAGAAAAGTAATTGATTGTATATGTGAAAAAAAAGAAAAAGAAAGAGAAGAAGAAGATAATATACCTCCACCACAACATCCTGATGAACAGTGGTAGGGAAAAATGGTTGTCATCAGACATCAATGGAATGTACAATCTGATTAAAACACAGATCCTATTTCGTTTCTTTTTTAATAATTCAAAATTTCGCTTTACTTGTCTTTACTATACTAGGATCTGGAAGAGTTGTTATCATTGATGTGTTCTGGATGATGTGAGGGATTAGCCAATGAAACGGTCTGTTATGGCGAGCTTTTGGCGTGAGGTGCACTGAACTGTGGGTAATCCACAAGAAACATCAATGCTGATCGGTTAATCAAATGTCTGACGTCATAGGCCAAAAGCATCTCGTATGACTTCTGACGCGACCTCCTAAAACAACTGGTCAGATCTTCATGTAGTGTAGGCTGTTATGAAAAGCGAAATGAAATATAGATCTGTATTTTAATCAGATTGTGAAATGTTGTAATAATGGAGGAAATATAGTACTTAATAATCATGAATAGACTAGTACGTCTTGCAATCTAATCTTAGTAGTGTATTGATTAACTAATATTTTATGCAAATATTAAAAGTCAGAAGTAGCATATTTAAAGCAAAACATTACATTAATTATTTAAATTATACAGTATTTTAGTCACACATAGATGCTTACCCTTAATATCAGATAATTCAATTCTTCCCAAATGTGGAAATTCCTTTTGGTTTTGCGAAGACCCTATCTAAGTGTAAGCTCTCCAACTTCAGGGCTTGCAAATACTAGTTCCACAATATTATCTCCATTTTGCTAACAGACATGTTGTACTGGAAAGTGTAATCCCCATTGTACTTACCATGGTGTTATTGAAATCTGTGGCGGATTAAGCTCCACCAAGGCCTGAGGCGGCAGTTGCTGGAGGGCCTATTTAGTTTTTAAAGTTAGAGCCAAGGTAGTTGCTAACATTAAAAACGGGATTCGTTACTGAGGTTATAATATTATTAAAATATTAGTTATAACTATTGAAATTTGTCGTACAAAATGCTTTGACAGCAGAAACGTCACCGGAAACCAACTGTATATACACCTATTTTCAAGGATAATATTACCTCATGATAGGGTGTTTACATCGAAACTAGCGCAAGATCTTTTGCTAGATATTTTTTCTTAAGCCAAAGTCGTTTGATATTGGTAATGTAACTTTATATGCCCATAAATGACGTCACGTGGATACAATATATTAAGCAAGACATAACCGAAAACTTACAAGGATTTAACGTACATTGTAGGCCTACGTTTAAAAAATAAGATCAGATCTCCAAACAATAGGGCCTATTTAAAATTGCGTATCCCTAATTTCGGGTGAGGGCTATGTTGATTCCCATTGGGCCTAAACCCCACCCTCCTAACATTCATTGTCTATGCGTTTTTAATCGTATCAGACAAGTCTAAAAAAATTTTTTTTACAAAATCTTTGGGCCTGCGGCTGCAGCCTCATCAGCCTCACTGATAATCCGCTACTAATTGAAATGATGATTTTCTGAATATTATAAACATGTAGTTGCTCATTCTGTTGAATATTTATTATAGGGTAGATTATGTTGATTCTTTGGGGCGATCAAGAAGATGTTTAAAAAAAGATCTCTCACATCTAATTCAACAAGATAAAGATTTATGTGGAAAAAGAAGGTTTGGACAGATTTGTGTTTTTTTATTTCACAAAGTTATATTCCATATCTTAAACAGAAGTAGTTTTTTCTTAAAGTCATTAAATAAATATATACAGCAAACAGTGACATGACTGTAATTATTGTGTTAATATTATATTTTTTTAGCTTAACTACAGAGAAAAAAAAGCTGGATGAGAGTTTACCAACATTATTATCAGCTGACATGTATCGTGAAATACAGCGTAAAAAATGGGAAGAAGAGGAAGAAGCTAAGTTGAACGAACCAGTTGGTCCAATACATTACGCTAATGTTCAACATAATGGTAAAATATTTATAATTTGTCTACAAAATTATATTTAACACATAGTTGTAAATTATATGATGTCCAACATAATGGTAAACTATTTACAGTAGACCTACTGTAGTGAAATATCTCAAGATTACTAAATTTGAGAATGACCTTTCAAAATAGTTGTTTCAGGGATCCATATCTTTCAACCTGTATCTACTATCCTTGAATGATTAAATATTCCATCATATCTGTTCCTCTTTGCAGCTGGATGAACTGGACTTAAAGTATAGTACAGGCTGATTTATAATTATGTTATTTTGTAGAGATAAGAACTCATGGTGTAGGTTTCTATCAGTTTTCTAAAGTTGAAGAAGAAAGACAAAAACAGATGGATACATTAACTAAACTTAGAGATGAGGTACAGTATACCATATCTGTCATGATAATGGCTAGGCTCCGATGAGTGCAGACTTGTCTTTGTTTTTTTGTTGTTTTTTTTTTTTTTAAGGGGGGGGGGGGGGGGTCTCCCTCCCTCAGCATATGACCCAACAACAAGCAAATACTGAAGTGGTCCCTTTTGCTATCTAGAAATGGTAGGCATTCTATTAATCATTTTAGCCCTCTCTTAGGTGACTGGCCAAACTCCTACAGAACCAACAGGAGGAATGGGGGTTGTTTTATGTCGCTCTCGCATTGGACATATTTTTTTAACCCACATATTTTAATTTTAAATTGTAAGTCTCAATATATTCCATAAAATGAAGTTAACTTTAGGATGCATGAAGTATCACTTGAATTACATGTTTGGGTATTTTAGACAGTGGATGCTCGGTCAAAATCAGAGAGACTGAAGGAGAAAAGAAAAGCCCAGCTAGAAACTAGATTAGCTCATGTTAAAAAAAGAAGAAGAATGAAAGAAGGATATGTTGAAGAAACAGGTTATTATTATTACCTTTCAAATTTATTTATAATAATATCGTCATTTTTAAAGCGTGTTAATAATGAATAAAACAGTTTCTAAGGAGCTGTTGGTTTTTATATTCACTGATTATTTACATATCAGGGTTTTGAAATAAGAATGTTTTGAGTTGAGATTTAAAATGGCCCACAGATGGTAATTGTTTCATTGATTGTGGAAGTCTATTCCATAGAAAAGGACCAGCATAAAAAAAGGCACGTTTTCCAAATTGTATGTTAATTGCTGGAGATTTTAGAAGATGTTTTGTCTGAGAACGGAGCTTTTTTGCTGGTAGTATAGGGTTCTACAAGACTTTTTTTTATATAAGATGGAGCTTGGCCGTTTAAAGCTTTAAAGACAAGGAGGTGTAACTTATTTTATATAATGTCGAGTGTTGACTAGTGATCTATAATCCTATAAATTTAAAACAACTCACATCCAGGAAACTGGCTTCCATATTCTGTAGTGTAGATTAGAGAGAAACTGTGTTGAGGTAAATGAGATGAAATGAAGTTTAAAGTCCTGCTTTTCTACACCATCTGGGCTAATGAAAGATGCAGTGTGCCACCTTCTTTTTGTTGCTTTCCAACTGCTAGGGCTTCTTTTATCTCCATGCCAACATGTACACTGGACCAAAATGACTCAACGCCGTTCCTTGGCAGGTCCTCTTCTCTAACCAGGGAAATGACGTTAAAAAAACTTTCTTTGCCAACACCAGAATGGAACCGGAGAACTATCTGTTAGTGAACTAGCGCTTTACCCACTGAGCCACCGTGGCTTCCTTCAGGTAAAGGCCAGATTGAAGATAGTCAATGTTTTGTAGAAGAATGAGTAATTATTTAAGATTGGTGATACAGAAATATACAGGTGTATTGTTATATTGTAGAAGATGAGAAGAACGAAGAAGAAATTGGTCCCAAGTTAGAAGAGATGATATCACAAGAAAGACAAGTTGTTAATGATGATAAGGGTAATAAATTAAATGAGAAACCTGTAGAGAAACCAGTTAGAGAATGGGATAGAGGAAAAGAAAGTAAGTAAAAATTATAAAACATCGCCAGCTCTTTATTTATATGTGCAATTTCCATTAAAATGTAATAATCTAGCCATTGTTGTCACCCCTGTTTGTTTGTTTTTTTCTTGTGAGTGCTCTAGAGGCTAAGGTTATCAGCTGATTGGCTTAAAATTTGTAAGCTTACAAAATGTTTAAGGATCCCAAGACATGGAAACCTATTGCACTTGATTAGATCAAAATGTTTTTCACTCTGTGACTAAAATGATCATATTAAATTAATACTGTGTTGTTTATGTTAGTGCTGGGAAGAAGCCTGTCATATTGTAACAAATTCAGATAATTATTTCGTGGGTTATCAATCTAGATCACTTTTCGTTTTCATGTAAATGCTCTAATTACAATGCAGCAGTCTTATGGACTGCTCAGACAACTATGGATGTATGGTTTGTCGCCTGTCAACCTATCTTATAATTTTGATTCCTTCTGTATTTTCTTGAACAGTTGGTTTGCATTGACTATTAAATAACTATAATATATGGTTGGATGCACAGTATATCTGTTCAGGGCCATTTGGGATGCCTAAAAATTATGTCGGTGTTAAGAACTTTGCCACTAATTGTTCTGTGTCTTTATGGGGAGATTTGTGTTGCAATAGATATAATATATAATTATCTAGCCTCTAACTAGTCTAACAGTAAATTGTATTTTCACTGTTTATTTTTAGAAATGTTTGAGTTGAACTCTCATCGTTATTTTGAAAAGAGAAGAGAAGAGAGAGAACCTGAGTTTGCTCCACCTTCAATTTATAAAGATACACAGTTTATGCCCAGTGCTAATATCAGCTGTCAGTCAAAGCTATATTCTAAAAAGACAAGTGACAGTTTAGAGTTTGCTCCACCTTCAATTTATAAAGATACGCTGGTTGCACCACGTGTTAATATCAGCTGTCAGTCAAAGCTGGATTCTAAAAAGACAAGTGACCATACAATCACAAATAAAATAGAAGTTAAAGATTTAAATGTAAGTGATATACCATTGCCTAGTGATGATACAATGTATCAGGGACAAAAGGAAACAAATAAAACCGCAGATATTTTGATACCAAACTTCAATGTTCCACCCCCTGGTTATAATCCTATTACACCTTTTCACACTGATATCACTCCACCAGCTTTTATTACTAATATACCTCCACCCAGTTTTATTCCTAATATACCTTCACCAGCTTTTATTTCTAATATACCTTCATCAGCTTTTTATCCTCCGTCTGCTCCTGTGAATTTAAACCCAGCATATGATGATCAGCACCACGATTTTAATTATTACCAAAGTATTCCACCTGCCCATATTACAGAACAGACACACCAAGCAAACTATTCAAGTGGAATAATTTCTCAAACTGACAACAGTTATTCAACAAAAGAACCTGTAGAAAGGATGAAAATCATTGACACCCGGTTTGTTGATAAGGAAGATGGACTGGATGTTATGGAACAAGCAGAGAATATAGACAGTGTATCATATAAACCTGGTTCCTTTACAATAGCAGCATTAAACAGTGCAAATGCTGTCATTAATGACAATGATTTGAAAGATAATATTTGTGAAGAGTTTCATACTGTACAGCCAAGTTCTTATAGTGGTGGAGCAGTCAATTATTCATCACAAACAAATACTTGAATACAAATGAAAAATAAATTAGTATTAAATATTGTAATGTCCTTTGTAGTGTAAAAAAGCAAACAGTGAGGCTGATGTCCCCTGCCAAAATCCCCCAAAAAAACTGATTATCTATGCTTAATCTAAGCATAAAATGTTCACTATCAAACTCAGGTTTTGAAGTAGCTGGTAGTGAGTGAAGCTATAGACTAAGTTTCATCACTCTCCATCTGTTAGAATCAAAGTTATCTTGCCCCAAAGCATCGACCAAAGGCATTCGCCTAATGAACATCTATACCTCAATGAACAGAATTGTTATGTTCCAAAGTCTTGACCAATCAAATTGCTTATCGCTCCTTAGCCTAAGCAGAAAAGTTTCATCATCAAACTTAGTCAAGGTAATGATATAATGAATCTATACTTGGCGTTTCATCACTCTCACTTAATTAAAACTGAAGTTATCGAAGCCCCAAAGCATCAACCATTCAGATTGCTTATCTCTGCTTACGGTAAGCAGACAATGTTTATCATCGAACTCCATCAAGGCATTCACCTAATGAAGGCCTACACCAAGTTCGAACATTCTACCTCAATTAGAAGGAGAGTTATTGTGTTCCAAAGTCTCGACCAATCAAATTGATTATGCCAAGCAGAAAACGCTCATTATCGAACTTAGTCAAGGTATTGATGTAATGAAACTGTACACCAAGTTTCATCACTCTCACTTAATTAGAACTAAAGTTATCTTGTCCCAAAGCATCAACCAATCAAATTGCTTATCTCCACTTACCCTAAGCAGAAAATTCTCATCTTCGAACTCCATCAGGGCATTCACCTAATAAACACCTACGCCAGGTGTGAACATTCTAGCTCAATTAGGAGAGTTATTGTGTTCCAAAGTCTTGACCAATCAAATTGCTTATTGCTCTGATTACCCTGAGCAGAAAATGCTCATTATCGAACTTAGTCATGGTATTGATGTAATAAAACTATACACCAAATTTCATCACTCTCCCTTATTTAGAACTAATGTTATCGTGTCCCAAAGAATCAACCAATCAAATTGCTTATCTCTGCTTACCCTGGAGGTCGGGTGTTCGATCCCTGCATTGGCCGAGAAAGTTCATCTGGATTTTTAGACGTGGTTTCCCCATGTCAGTGGTGCAGAACGGAGGGCCTGACAAGGACAGCTGTCTAGTCCTTCGGATGAGACGAAAACCTGAGGTCCCGTGTATACATTGGAATGCACATAAAAGATCCCTTGGCAGTTGGAATTCGATATAAGAGTAGGCGATATTGCCGCTGCCCGGACAAAATTTCCCTCATAGCACACTGTATAGCGTATGCCTGTCTTCATTAGCCCAGTATAGGTGCAGAACAGTAGGACGTTAAACACCATTTCATTTATCTCTGCTTACAGTAAGCAGACAATGTTTATCCTCGAACTCCATCAAGGCATTCACCTAATGAACGCCTACACCAAGTTTGAACTTTCAACCTCAATTAGAAGGAGAGTTATTGTGTTCCAAAGTCTCAACCAATCAAATTGCTTATCACTCTGCTTACCCCGAGCAGAAAATTCTCATTATCGAACTTAGTCAAGTTATTGATGTGATAAAACTATACACCAAGTGTCCTCACTCTCACTTAAAGATACATTATGGGAGATATTTATAGAGAGTTGGCCATTCTTGCTATAACAGTTCAAAAGTAGATGATGAAAGAAGAATATATTGAAAAATTCAGTCAAATTACTTTATTCTGAACATAGTTATCATCGTTGTAATATTTGCCTAGAAATGGTAGCGAAATGTGTCTTCACCTTCGCCGAACGTTTGATTGACAGGCGTTAACTCCACCTACATATCTCGATTATCAAGTAAAGTTTTCAATGGCATATGGAAACGCTTTACAGCGGCCTCGCTAAGTACACTCTATCATTTAGCCTCGATCTAACTGACGTATTTTCATCAGGTTACCCCTTATCTGATTTAATCAATTAGTGAAATCCTATTTAAATCCGAGCTGTAGCCGAGCCATCCGTGGGTCTACAGAGTTGATTTTGGTCTTGTTTAAATAAAGATCTAATTTATAATTTCTATAACATCTGAAGCCTAAATTAAGACTTGCAATAATCAGATTTAGCTCTTGCATAATGCATGTTTAATTAGAACTAAAGTTATCCTGTCCCAAAGCATCAATCAATCAAATTGCTTATCTCTGCTTACCCTAAGCAGACAATTCTCATCTTCGAACTCCATCAAGGCATTGACATAATAAACATTTACACCAAGTTTGAAAATTCTAGCTCAATTTGAAGGAGAGTTATTGTGTCCCAAAAATTGTGATGAACAAACAGACGGACGAACCTATTTTAATAGTCCCCTGCTTTCTTCAAAAGGCGGGGGACAAATAAATGTAGTCTGTAAAGTGTTTACAAGAAATTCTGGACCATGGACAAGAGGGTACTGCAGTATGGGCGTATAAAAAATGAACATCTAAAAACCCCTGCAAATTTGAATGAAATGGGCAAAAGAGTCTCAATATGGTGGTGATCAACTTATTTGAACAAATCCTGAATGAGCACCAACCAAGCAATAAATATACTTACTAAATTTGGTGAAAATTCAACTACCGTTAGAAAACCCTTGAAAATGTCCAGTAACCACTTGCGGATGCAGCCCAATACGAAAACGTAACAAAATATTTAAAAGTTTATTTTTTGTACTTATAATAATACATGAATATATTTTACAATGTCAGTTATAAGTATATCCATACACAATAATGAAATGATTTCTCAAATGTAGAATTGGAATATTATTTTAGTATATGAATATATTATCAGTTTCTTCTCTTTAATTTCATACTAATATATTACTTTAAGACATTGAAGTAAGTTCATGCAGTTGTTTCCTTAAAATAAATTGTTTGCACACGATCCATATTTTTATGGAAATGCAAATGATAATGTGACAGGAACAAAATGTATTCAGAGAAGCCATCAATAAAAATTCCACTCTGCCTGAATTTAACAAGTAATAATGTAAAATAATAAATAAATAACTTATTGATAGTTAATTATAGAAAAACAGGCCAATACCAAGAGCGAATAATATCTTTTAAAATGTTGTTTCAAGAGATTTCTACTAGGAAATGTCACTTTGTCTTTGAATTTTTCTAGTCCTCAAATAGCCAAACCAAATACACTAACAATACAGTACATAGTTTTATTTTCCCATCTTATTGTACAACTTCCTACAAAGAGAAAGATAGATTTAACATTAATCAAACATTAACAAACAACTTCATGCAGTGCATAAAGGAGGTAAGTGATAAGTACAAAACATGAAAAGGGCATTTCTCATACATCATATTATTTTAGTGTATGCCCCTCATGATCAGCTGTTTTTGTTAGGAACAGGCTCTTTATAATATGCACCACCCTGAATTATTTTCTAGTAGACTGTTATTTTGATGATTGTGATCTTAATGCATAATATTAATATAATATAAAATAAAAAGGTTGTACTTACCATCAGTTGTATTATCCCAATAACAAGAGCTAGCTGTGTGAAGACCAGCTCCATTCTTCTGCATTATAACACATGTAACTGAAAATAACAAGACAAAGCTAATTAGTTCCTTATCCGACAGTATGTCTAGACTATACCCACATTATGCCATATCTACAACATACGCCAAAGGCAAAAGTCTCAATCGAATGACAATCTCCAGCGTTGGTTTATTTCAGTCTACACTGATAATATTTATTGCGCATACTCTCCAGATAAGAACATGGCACCACCGCTTGACATGACATGTGGAATATGTCTAGCCTCGTTCTTCAAGTTCCTTGTTACAAATGGCGCTGAAACACATTATTATAGTACACAATTCGTGTACCAATGGCAAAATGTTTATTTTGTCTTTAATTTGGATATCAGAAGCCCATTTTTGCACAGTAAGATTACAACATCAATGTTAATTTAAATTGGCGCATATAATTTGTGGTTTCAATGTCGAAGACTTTGGATGATATTGAGTTTGTTTGTTTGAATACCGGTACATCCTTTCATTATTAAATTTGAAGTGCCACAACATATTTGTACTTTAAGTACAAAGTTTTGTTGGAAGTTGTGTTACAGGTTGTCTGCAAGATGAAGTTGATCCATTTAACTTGACACTGAAGACTAACCACAAAAATATAATAAATTACTACTAGTTAATACAAACAGTCTACTTATAAATTACCTATATATTTGAATGGTTTGCCTAATTTTGTAAGTTGGTTCAAACACTGTTCTACAACATTGGAAGTCCACTGATTAACTTTATTGTGTTGGTATGTATTTCCTCCAATGGCTCCCTCTACAGCCTACAAATACAAACAAAAATATAATATAAGGCCAAGACAATAAAACAACAAATCCATTATTTATAAAAAAAAATACAGTATCGAGTTTAATGTATTAGAATAGTTGTGTTATAATGTCACATACCTTGGTTTGGAAGTAAATATTCGAGTGCATTTTATTATGTATATAAGTATCACTGTCAAAACGTTGCAGGTTATTAATAAAACCAGTAATTGTTATTCGATCAACAGTTTTTAGACAGTAAATATTTTTTCTTTTATTTTAATACTATAATTATAATTACAAATGACTTTAGTTGGTAAATTTTTAAAACTGATTTATCATACAATAATCCAAATAAAATGGATAAAATTTGGTAATTGAATGATCCCATTCAAAATAAATACCAATTTTGTTATAAATAAATGTATATCAATCAATATCATAAATTTTTAATTTGGTAACCAGTAAGCTTATATTCTTACCTCTTTTATAATAGTTGTTGCTTCATCAATGACAAACGCTGTCTGAAAAATATAGAAAAAAATGTAAAGTCCTGGTAGGAAATGGGTATTCTTTTAAAGAGCACCTAAAAGCACAATGAGCATATAATATGTGCTTGGAAGTTTTGTGTTTTAAGTTAACACACCAAAAGCAAATTTGGTAACCAAACACAAGAGGATTGCCAAGTATAC